TGATGCTGCCGACTGCATGGTTGGTCTAGCTGGCGTGTCAAGGAAGTGCAGGACAATAGGTGGGTAGTGGATGCCGCGTCATGGACCAGGACTGGGCCATGACCCTAACGCAAAACTTCTCTGGAATCTGCTTTCACCTTGCCCGAGTTCACCCTTAAAAGTAAATCCAGCTTCTCAGCTGTCACTCGGCACATAGCACGGCTGCGGCTGCATCTTCTGTGGGCTGGGAGCAGAAACTAGGCCTTTGACACTGAGGGGTCCTTGGAGCAGACGTGCCAGAAGAGAGCGTTTCCTGACATGCATGCATTGTGCCTGGCAGGGGCTGAGCCAGAGACATCTTCAGCACTTAAGCTTTATTTTAAGTATGTGTATTGGCACACAGGCATGTATGGCTTGAGCCCGAAAGGTCCTGAAGGAAACCTTCCTGGGAAGAACAGGTTGTAAAGTGATACAGGGCAAATGGCCAAAGGCTGCAGACAAGCCACTCTGGGCCTCTGCTACTTACAGCTTTGCCCAAGATCAGCAGGCAATGACCAAGTCCAAAGATCATCAGGAAATGACCACGTCCCTAATCTGTCCGGGACCCTGCCAGCAATCACAGGAATGATCCATTCAAGAATCACAAGGCCAGAAGGGGCTGTTATAATGAGAACATAACAATTGCCATCTATGGGGCCAGACCACAGGTCCATCCACCCCAGTGTGTGTCTCGCAATGGATGCTGAAGTAGGGGAGGGTAAACAGGGTACAGCCACAATTTTCCACCCCCTGCTCCTCTTCCACGGCAGCTTTCAGCATCCAGACTGATTCAGAGGCTGCACCCCTATCTCCCATGTACAGTAACCTCCTGGTGGACCTTTCCACTGTGAATTTGTCCAGTCTCCTTTTGAAGTGACCAAGGCTACCAGCATCTTGTGGCAGGTCAATTACACATGGTGGAAAACGAACTGCCTCTCGTTAGTTGTGAACCTGCTGCCTAATTGTTTCATGCTACGTCCCGTAGCTCTAGCACTGAGAGAGACTGTAACAATAGACCTCTGTTGACTTTCTCGGCACCATTCAGTATGTTGGAAGCCTCTACTGTGGCCCGCTCAGCCACCTCTGATCTATACTGAAGAGACCCATTTAGTCTCTCCCATTGACTTGCAGGTTGGACAAGCCACTGATTTCCCCAAGTAGAGAGTGGAGCCACAGCGGGCACCAGTTACTTGAGAACCTGCCCAAGAGAGAGCTGGGAAAGGGTAGCAGCTCTTCCAAGGGCCCTTCACCCAGCCCAGGGCAGGGCAGAGCCTCCCGGAGCAGCCAGTATCCCCCAGGCAGCAGCCCAGGGAGGGACCCAGCTGGCCCCATGCTCCTGCACCCGCAGCATGGAAGGAGCCCCTCCTCTTGCACTTACCCTTGCCCTGCAGCCTCTCTTCATTCAGTGCCGCTGCCTCGCACGGGTAACTTTCCACTCGCTTCCCCTTAGCCGTCCATTTCCTGTCAATCACTGGAGCTGCAGATAACATCGTCCAGTCATCCCCCTCCAACGTCAGGGTGTCTGGACACTCCAGGCCCCACATCCGGCCCAGCCCCTCTGCCTCCAGACTCCTCGGCTTGGACGCACTTGTCTGGAGCCACTGGTGAGTCTCGGTCCCCAGAGAGCAGCTGTGGAAATCCTTTCAATTCCTGGCCATCTCCAAAGAAAACACTGCCCTGCAAGTGGCCAGGCCTGGGCCCTCCACCTCTGCTACCTACTTGCTGTTCTCTCTTCCTCTGGGCACCGGGCTGCCTTTGGCTTGGACTCTGATTTCACTCGTTCTGCCTGAGCAAATTCTCTGGTGCCACAGTCGGAGGCTTTCGGCAATTGTCTGCTGGCATCAGAAGCTCCCCGGTTTGGGCTGCCCGAGTGCCACGGGCTCTCAGATACCACTGGAGTAGCAGGTCTGGTGGATCTTTGTGCTCCAGACCTGTGCTACTTCAGATGTGGGAGAAACTCCTTAGCACTTAGCAGTACAGGGCCAATGAGACACAGCCAGAAGATGCTGATCCCCTGTGGAGAAAGCAGTAACACTCGCAGGCACTCACCACCATACAAGACAGTACAATTTAGTTAGCACCTTTTCCTTCTTTGCCTCTTCTTCTTGGCCTGCCTGCAGGAAGGGGGTCTCGACCTGCAGCATGGACCCTCCCTCTGGCATTCACACCAGAGGCAGAGGACTTTCACTAGACCTTCTCACACACGGGGTATTCCCTGTTGGAAGCACTGTTTCTATGCTGAGCTGCAGTAGGCCCATGAATCCCAGCAGGTACCAGGAGGATGTGGGAACGGGAACATAGCAACTGTCTGTGGTCACTCTGTCCTGTCCAGACCAGCCTGAGCAGCATTTCCCTTCCTCTACAGCAAGTATTCAGTCAGAAGGTGCCATGAGCTATGGACGCTGGGCTGGCTGTGGGGGCTGGTCCTGCTGGGATCTGGAACTCAACATTTGCCCAGACCAGTAGCTGCCGAGGCCTGTGTGAAGTGACTTGTCTCGTCCTGTGACCGTGTTACCCCCAACCCTGGACCCTCTCAAGCCAGACATCAGTGTTTCAGGGTCTGGGTGAAATGGAAGAGCTGGCTGTTATTTTTTCCTTCCACGTGTTGTGCACAGCACAGTCTCGTTAGGAATCGGGACTGAGAGAAACGTTCCAGGAGAGAAGGGTAGTTCATCGGCTGCAATGTCATCACAGCAGAAACAAGCTCCTGGGTTGTTAAGAGCAGGGCTTCTAGCCTTGGCTTCTGCTTCAGTCAAACTGGGGGCTGAACACTTTGCTGCGCCCCGGCAGGCTGGGTTCTGGTAGCTTCCCACCCTGCATAGCATGTTCTTCCTTGTGGACGCTGATGGGCCCGTCTCACAGCTGGGTCCATAGCAGTCCGTAGCCCTGCTTGTGCAGGTGACCAAGGTCAGGCTCAGGCTTCCAGCCAAGATCCCACTCGCATTCCCACTTCAATTAAATACCGCTTGGTTTGTTTGAATCACCCATTGTTACTGGCACCTCAGCCAATACTGCCTCCGTGTTGGGATGATTTGAATAACAATTTTTGATCTTTCCGATTTCCGTGTTGCAGACCCGGGTGTGCGTGTGCATGTGTGTGGGACGGGGGTGGGGGTGGAAGCAAACATCCTCTTGGGCTCAATTGTTTATAACAGGTATAGCACGATTTTTGGCAGGAACTTGATTGCATGAGGGACACAGGACTTTCCATACCAGATCACAGCTTCATTGAGCTGGGTCTCCTACTTCAGGCAGTGGCCAATATGTGATGCTTCAGAGGAAGTTTAAAAAAATCCGTGGAGCTCTTGGCCTGTTGTGTTACGCTGTGGGTGTGTGCGTAGCCTGTGCGTGTGTGTACACACCTATGTATGTGTATGTGTGAGTGCATGACCATGCCTGTGTGTATGCGCGTGGAGTTGGGGTTGCTGACCACTCTGGCAATTGGCAGGTCCCACCCCGGAGCCTGAGGTTCGTCCCCTGTCACTGTTGTGGTCTGTGCTCTTCCCTGACCGTTGGCACACCACAAGCCCCCAGTGGAAGGGCTTTGTCCTTCAGGCCAGACTTGTGTGGCGGGGCCGTTTCTGCCCAGAGCCCCGGTTTCGCAGGGGGCCC